ATGAAAACTTCAAAACTCGCGTCCTAAACCACCCAAACCCACTCATTAAAGACACGTTTACCCAAACTATCCCAAACCAACGATATAAAACCCCGACAAGTTTAATGGCAGACCCCCCCTGGAATCACTCGTCTTAAGTAGTTGATTCCCGACATCTCAAACCTCCTGGAAAGTACCTAAACTCTCAAACTCTTGCAAATTTAACTCTCTAGGCCAACCGCCACAAACCACTACTTTTCGCGCTCCGTACCCCTACTTTTTTTCCAGCCAAGCCAAGGGTTGTACAATCAGAGCTCAACACGAGTTCAACGCTGAACTCGTGCTGAACCTGACAGCCGGGTGATGATCGCGTTGAACAAAGCCGGTTCAAGATTTCAGCACGAGTTTAAGCTCGGTTCAATTGAGCGGCCAGACTTGGTGGCTTAAACCTGGTTCACTGGCGGTTCACTAGGTATTTAAATGTACATTTCCAAATTTTTGAATTTTTTTTATCACTTAACTTTAGTTTGTACATCCGTAATTAAAAAATGGCTAAATACGTCCAGATCAATTAAATAAATTAAATTAATTAACTAATTAAAACAAGATTTTAAAAATATATTTCGCACGCCCACGTTTCACAAAGAAAACGCCGACTTATATATATACAGGGTGGCCATTTTCTGAATCTTTCTATGGGTAACTTCTACATTTTGAAAGATAGGGAATCCGTTAAATGGGCAGAATTTGCTTGCCTATTCATTACCGTTTTCAAAATTTAGGTACCTGACTTGGTTCCTGAAATATCCTGAAGAAGAAGAAGACAAGAAATCAACACTTTTTAATTATAAAACAGCTTAACTTAGAACAAAAGTTGAAACTGCCCTTAGTACATCTTTTTGCGTTGAAGCCAATAAACTATTCAACATGTCGTGAAGTTCATTTGGTAAAAAGTGTAAATATCCTTCGTTATTCAAATTGTGATTATAAAAGAATGGACCAATAATTTTATCACTAAAAATGCCACACCAGACTCTCACAAAAAAAACACGTTGATCTCGCCTATTTTCAATTAGATTTCATTAACCCAGTAAACATGATTGTGTCTGTTAAATATTCCATTGTTAGTAAACCGAGATTTGTCAGTAAATAAAATGGTGAGGGGCAACTTTAGATTTAATATCCCTAGCAAACAGACTAAACCACCTAGACAAAGTTCTACCAAAGGCAATTTTAACTTTTTTTCTAAGTTAAGCAGTTTTTGAAATATGTGATAATTAAAAAAGTGTTGATTGCTTGTCTTTTCAGGATATTTCAGGAACCGTCGGGTACCTAAATTTTGAAAACGGTAATGAATTCGCAATCG